GCTATTAGAAACAGGAAATTATTTTTAATGGGACTTTAATATGGTGAAAGGAATAAATAGCCACAAAATTTGCCAATTTACCTAAGGCAAACTCCCAAGTTTTTCCCATTATAAAAACGTTTATCTTTCCCTATCTTCAACTGGATTCCATAAGCTATTGATTTAATACTTGATTTTAAAGAAAAATAGAAATAATTTGAGGAAATCTGGAGACCTTTGGTAAATAACCATTGCTCTCTTATCTGATGGTAAGTCAAAAAGCATTGCTACTTAATCAGAGAAACTTTTATTCAACAAAATTATCAAAAATTGGAAGTTTTCTTGACATATACTACTTATATGTCTATATACTTCTGAAAGTGGTATTTCTATCTTTGTAACTCTTGCTTCAAGAGTTTTGTGCGCTTCAATTTACATCACATTAAACAAGTTTTGGCACTCTTCAGGGAGTCACATCGTTTTACTTTTAAATACCCTTTTTACATTTTGGAAACAAAAGCTAGTCTGAGGAGCAAATTCTCAAAAATTCTCTTAAAACAGTCTGTGGTTTGAGCAGACTGAGCAGGCGGCATTACTATGATGGGGAAAAATGATGATGCAACTTTCCTCGTCTTTTACTATTGTAGTTTTCCATTTAAAAAAAAATTCCTCACAATACATCTCCACGACCATCCTGTCTATGGGAAAATCTATCAGGATTATTCATAACTTGAGCTAATTGATCTCACAGCCTGGCAAAAATCCCTTGGAAACCATTCTGATTGCATGTTGCTCTCTGGATACTGAGGAGCCAGGTGGTACAGTGGTTACGCACTGGGCTGCAGATCTGCAAATCGGCAGTTCTGAATCACCAGCAACTCCTCAGGAGACAGACTGGGTTTTCTACGGTAAACAGTCTTGGAAACCCACAGGGGTCACTGTGAGTTGGCACTGACTCCATTGACAGGGAGTTTGGTTAGGGGTTTGCTCTGGATAATACTGGTAAATTAAAGACTCCTCCTGGGTATCCCAGTTCATGTTCATTGGCTTTGATCTTGCTTGAAGACTGACGGAAAGATCAGTACTTTGAACAAATTGATTATTGCACAATGCTTTCTTTGGGTCTTCATCTGGGCACACCTCAGAGTTGAAATCTTCCCAAACCTTCCTTAAGCCACCTGATCCATCTAAAAACGGTGGGTTAAAGTTTACTAGCATTCCACTCAACTTGTTGCAAAGTTTTAGCTAGTGATCTAGAAGATGTGAACTTAAGTTTTGTTAAAATGTTTACATTAGATTTAACCTCAAAAGAGTTTTTTGGGGCACCCCCCCCCTCGTGGCACAAAAAGGATCTTTTCCTTTTTTTTTTTTTTTAGGGAACTCAAATGAGGCTAAGTTGAGTGTAATACTGAGAGAACTTGTCTGCAGCAATCCACTGATCGCAGAGATGTTTACACATGTTTGAAATAAGCCAATATATATGCATGAGCTGGAATCCTAGTAGTAGTATTTTTTTACTTGGTAAAAGTAGGTGAAATGATAAAATTTTAAAATAATTTAGAAGCAAATTATGTTTGAAGGGCTGCTGATACCCAATCCTCCTTTTAAAAACAGAGAAACCACATTTAATAATTTAATGTTAAGTAGCTGCTGTCTCTTAAAACACAGGACTTGCTTTTGTAAAGATTATCATGCATGAAACAAAATCTCTACAGGCTCTTCATAAAGAGTTCTGTAAAACACTTATGCTTCCTATTTTGAATGACAAGAGAACCGTGCTTAAGTTGACTTTCAAAGTTAGCAATCCAGTATTCTAAATGTAGTTCCTTTCTTTTAGTACAACACTGGGCAAATATTTTAATAGGTAATTTCCCTTAAACAGTTTTTACTATGGAATTTAAATATTACTTAGAACAACAAATGCTGGTCTGGGATTTAAAAAATAAAGGGTTCTATGAAATCTAACTTTACCACATTATTAGCTAAAGACAACAGAGATCATAATTATAGTCACATGATGTAAGACTATTGGGACAGCATTTTAAAGCCTGTATCAAAATGAAAAATCATGGAATAGAGTTTTTAATTATAATCTTACATCCAGCTTTATTTAATTTTAAAAGCTTCCAAATTTCAATTAAGTTTATAGTAAATACAGCAAACTCTTAACGGAGGTACTTGGTTAGTTTGGAAGCCCACTCTTCCCAGGTTTTTAAGAAACCTTGATTTTTTCCCCCTACAAATGTGGCCTATTGCAAATGGTCAGAAGCAACACAAAACAAGTTGTTACTGTTGCTTCTAGTTACTCTATTCCTTTCCAGAGCCTTTCCTATTCATATTTCACTTTAAAACTGAAGACACTGAGATTTTCTTTAAACTCACTAGAATATAATTTAAGCATACTTGAAAGTAGCAAATAAAACTAGTTTCCCCACTTTTAAATGTCCGTGCTTTAAATGTCAGCTAGAAATATGAGTTATCATCTTCCATGCTTACTGATGGCTCACAGTAGATACTGAACAGAGAGCAATGGAATGAATGAAACTCGGACCTACAAACAAAGTTTCCAATTCCACAACCCATTTCATCAATTAGCTCCTTAATCTGAGCTTTTAAAAAGCCATGAATCACTGCCACTTTCCAACAAGCAACGGATTGAAGACTTGGAAAACATACTAAATTGCACAAAGAAAAACCTGCTGTGTCAAAAAATACACTATTCAAAATGTAATTTGACAAGGGAAAAGATAAATATTTTCTCTTTGTGGTAGGCAGTTTTTTCTACTCTCATTTTATTTGCAATCTGACTTACCAGTTTCTTCCTTCAATGTTTATCACATATTTTAAGGTCAGTGATAACTGAAATTGTTAGAACCTGCAGAATTAAGTGATTTCTCAACCCTGCTTTTAAAAATCCAGACCCATCGAACTAATGCATTCCACACTACAAAAGCATACGAGATGTTACTACTGTAATTCATCAATTATAAGGCATGATGTTTCATACAGTAATCTCTCTAAAATTGCGCTATATCTTACAGTTGATGGCACCTTAGCATTGAGCTTTTAATTTAATTGGCAACTTTTTTTTTTCTTTCTCGGTTGTACATAAAATACTGGTATGTTTCACAATCAGTGTTGATAATATTAAAAGCTATAGTTCAAATTTCAAGCAGCAATTTCCCTGTCCTCCCAGGAGTCTCCCACCATAAATATACAACTGAAATACTTAATCAGAAGAACTATCCAAACACAGTTCAATTTTATACAAAATATTTAATTTTTAAAACACAGGCTATTCATGTCACATAAATATCTTCATTTTTAGGTTAGCTGCTTATGGTCAGCAGAATCCTCTAGTGTGACTATTAAGAATAACTTAGATACTGTCACTTATCGGAAAGTCTAAAGCTCTAAGACTCACCATATTAAAATTTCCAATACTTGAATACTGTAGCTATTTTTTCTAAATTTCAAAATATTTTTCACTTCCTGCAATGTAGTAATTAATCATAAGTTGTTAGTACTCGATATACAAACAAAAGCAAAATAATTTTTCTTCCATTTGTTTCCCCAACAAAAAATTCCATCAAATCTTAAAACCATCAACTAACATTAACTCATTTTGTAGTAGTAAAATGGTAAGTTAGCCACTTTAAAATGATCGTCACCAAACTAGAATGTTTCCTATACCTGTTTTGAGATGGAAGGTTCTTAAGTCAGAGGACAAAGGGCTAATAGACTGACTTTAGAACTGGAGCAATCGCTAGTCGTTAAGTTGTTCCAATTTATGTCTCCAATAAAAAAAGAAGTTACCAGAATAGTTAAAACAAGATGATTAATTGGCACAAATCTTAATTTCCAAAATGTTTTTACATTTAGTAATAAAAAAACTGGTTAATTACCTTTGGTTCCTTTCTTTGTGTCTAAATGTGCACGCAGTTAGACTTGACACTATTAGTTTAAATAAGGGTTAATCCATCATTATTTACTGCTTGTAATAAGAAACATTTTAAATAAACTAACACTGCTCTAAAAGTCTGGCATAAGTCCTAAAAAACCCTCTAGTTCAGTAGTTCTCAACCTTCCTAATGCCGCGACCCTTTAATACAGTTACTCATGTTGTGGTGAGCCCCAACCATTAAATTATTTTCGTTGCTACTTTATAACTGTAATTTTGCTACTGTTATGAATCAGGCGACCCCTGTGAAAGGGACGTTTGACCCCCAAAAGGGCTGGGACCCACAGGTTCAGAAGCGCTGCTCTTGATGGTGCTAGAAGTGAGATAAGAGATTCTCTCACTTTTCTTTTGCTTCAATAAACTCAATCTAGGTGATGTTTCTAGTTAACAAGTGCGAAGAGTTGTTTTTTCCTTAACATGGCAATTATATAACTTAAAACATGGCGTATCACCCCTTCCCCCGTGATCTTCAATAGAACGGTGTAAATTCTGTTATTAAGCCTTGCTTCATACGACTGCTCTTCAGTTTGTCATGGCAAATAAAAGCAGGGACAGTATGGCAGCCTGAATGAAAATGGTCCTCTAAAATTCTCCTTTAGCTATTACTTTCAACAACTTAAATGACAAGCATCTCAGAACTTCACGGAAGGTAACAAAAGGTACTGGTTGTAGTTCTACTCCCTTTGCTTTCACTCCCTCCCCTACCAAGGGAAGATGGTAAAAGGTTAGCGTCACCCAAAGATGGGGAGAAAAGGTGAAGATGTGGCAGACAGAAAGCATGGACCTACCAGGAACTGAACGGGGCCCAGAATACTCGAGGGCTTCCTGTCTCGCAGACACAATGCACTGACTCATTCCCTTTCAAAGACAAACAGGTGTAAAGGGTAACTACATTTTCAGACCTTAAGTTTACCTGTTAAGGCACTTACTTACCCTCCCCATCCCTCCCACATTTTTCATATAAAACCCACTATTTCATTTGAATGCATTTGTTAGCTATGATGATCTGCAAAACAAAACAAAAATAACATCGACCATTTTTTTTTATAAAACTGTTGCATCAAGAGAAAGGTTGTGTTTTATTTTCTGAAATGAGCACAAAGTACACCTTTCACAATAACACTGAAAGCAGGTGCAAAGACTGACAGTGACCTTTGACTAAAGGTAGCTTTGTAAAAAGAAAAATACCAAATAAATCAGTGCCCTTTCTGATTGTTGTAAAACTGGGGGTGGGGGTGGGGTGGGTGTTGATGGAAGGGGTGTTTGTTTGTTACATAAAAGTTGGTCCAAACTTACAAAAAAAAGCACAAATGTGCATAGTTCAGAAGATCTGCAAGAGGGCCATAAAAGGCCAGATGTCCCTAAGATTAGCATCCACTTAAAACTGCGCGAATACAAAATAAAACTGTTAACTAGAATTTGTGAAGATGTACAATCAATAGATCTAGTTTTGAGAACAGCATGAATTTAAGCAAAGGTGTTTTTTTCCTTTCATTTTTCTTTTTTTACTATTGTATGCAAGACCCTTTCCACATAAAAATAAAGCTGTTGTTGAATTAATATTATTCAAGTCTCTTGGATTGCTGCCTTAAACTGCAGCTAGAAAAGTCTTTCCAGATAAAAATGATGTGCCTGAGGAAAAACAGATATTCAGTATGGTAACCCTCTGCCTCGACCTCTGCCAGTTGATGTGCTAATGTGTCCCCTGTATCCTTGGGAATATCCAGGTCCGTGGGCAGGAGAAGTCCAGGTCTGTCCATGCATGAGGCTGGGGCCACCTGGGTTTTCTTGTAAGTTGCTACCATAGTTATAGTTGTGCATCTTTGCTGGCAAAGGATGAGTACTTTCTGGCCCTGTGGAAGGGTCACTGCTGTTTGTCAGGACTGCAATAGGGCCATGGCTATATTCAAATCTATGGTCCTTGTCTCCACTAAACAACATGGGAGCAGTATTGAGGTAAATGTCTCCATATCCAGATACTGAGCTGGGAAATGACTCGGAAAAGGCAGAAGGCTGAGGTGGACCAGCAGAATGAGATGAAGCAGTACTGTAGTTCTCCAAAGACTGAATATCTGAGTTTCCTATGAAGGTGCGTCGTTCCAATGATGGAGCAGAACTACCTCCTAGACCATCATTACTAACATAAGGAGCAGAAGAGAAGGAAGAGGATCCAAAATTGTCTTTGTAGTCTGCAGTAGGTACATAAGTGTCTCCTGCTTGATAATCAATACCACCTTCTCTTTTGGGCTCATCCTGGGGCTGATGCTGAGCAAGGAGCTGTAAGAGGGCAGCTTTCACTCCGGCGTGTGGGTCAGGTAATGAAGAACTAGTGGTGGGCACATGCTGGTTTTCTGTCCGATAATCCAGATCTTCGTCAGTGACTGGTGGTGGTTCTGGAGGTTCTGGAGGTCGTTGATCAGGAGGCAGAATTCGAGGCCGGTCTGGTTCTGGTGTTAGCTCCAATATCCTCGCATCTTGGTGCTGAAGGAGATCTTCTTGCCCTAAATGAAACAAAGCCAAAAGGAGAGTAAAACATTATCAGGTAAAACTATACATATTCAAAATAGCCTGTTTCCTATTAGTGATCTTAAAGACTAATAGAGGTGCACCTCTGGCACAACATTAAATCAAAGGAAAGGGAGTTTACAAGTGTGGATTTTACTTGCTATTTAAGTCGATGGTGACTGAAAAATTCTTAATAGTATTTTAACACATATTAACAGATTGATTACTTGAGGAAAAAATACTACTGTATATATAAAGTTTCTGTCGTGGTCAATCATCCTTTACAGCCAGAGTAAAAGGTTCTTTCTTAAGCATAGGCTTGCCTGAGAAAAACTAAAGCACTCACAATAATGAATTATATCAGACATGGATAATACAATCAAGAACCAATTCCTGAAGTAAATTGACTAGGAAACCAACCTATAATCAGTGACCTGAGAATTTTCAGGACATCTCCTAGCAATGTCAATGACCAGTATGCCCCAGAGATCCACAAACACCGAGTGGCAGCATGTGCCTGGTATATAATATGCACACTCACCCGAGACCGGAGTGCTGGGTTCTGGCGGTGGCCTGAGTTGTAATGATGCTTCATGTCCAGAGCCATTTTCCCGCTCTTCCAGTAGCATGTCTTTCTGCTTTGACTGCTGAGCCTTTATTAACTGAGTCAACAAAACTGCAAACGCGCTCTGCACAGCCGCCTGGGCAGCATCAGTCTCCACTTTAGGCTGGACAGTCTGAGTAGGCAGTTGAATTCCTCCCAATGATTTTGAAGACTCCTGTTGTGGTGTGGATGGATCTGTCAGTTTTTCACCTGTTTCCAAAATTCCAGCAGGAAGGTTTATTTTATTTAGTTGCTGTGGAGTCTCAGAGTTTACCTTAACTTTCAACACTTGGTCAAAATCAGCCACATTAACATTTGTTTTAGATTGCAGTAGGTTTAGTAGAATTGCCAATTCACTGTGGTTTAACTGCTGTCCAGGGCCTGTTTTTACTAAAGACAAAATCTTTATTAATTACAATTGCCAAGCTCCTTATACACACTCCCCACAACCCCCAAAGGCACTATATTACGACATTAAAATGTACATTTGAGGTGGGGTATATAAAATAGTACTATGAAAGTCCTTGAAATCAAGTTTATGATATTCTTCTCCTGTATACTTTAAACTTCAACGCAGTTCAATTTCATGACCATTAAAGTTGTAATGTACTTAAATTGAAAGGAACCATGATCAATTTTGAATAACTTATCTTTAAGGGTTAAATATTTCAAAAGGAAAACCATGCCTCCAACTAGGATCCCGTTCTATAGGTTTAATCAAGAAATACTAACTGTGAATGGGAAATGAATAATGATGATGATGACATCTCCACGGGTCCTTTAAAAATGTTTTTTACTCTGTTAGTTTTCATTTTATAAGGCAGCCTCTATTATGAACTTCATTTTACTGAAGAAGATACTGACACCTGGAGACAGTAACGTGCTCACCGTCAAAGACTGTAAGTAACAGAGATGGGATCTGAACCCAGGTACTGTGATTCTAGTGGACTGCTTAACTGATATGCTGGAATTGCTTCTCTGAGACAAAGTTTCATACTGCAGAACTTAATCTGTCTTTGCAACAAATTCAAGTTAGAATCTAGCTGACTCTATTAAAATGCCAATTTTAAAATTTAAATAATTATTTTAAGTTCCTTTGGTTAGGTCAGGAACTCCTCAAGAAGCACATTTCTTATTCTTTTTCCAACTGATACTTTAGATTTGTGATGGTTTAAACTGTTTCTTGTGCAGTGGTACCAGAATAATATACAACAACAAAACAGGAATATGTACAACATATGTCAAATGATAAAATGAACACTGAAACGCAATTCCTGTAGCCACTGATAGCAGACTAATAGAAGAAAAACTCCCAAGGAGACGAGAAACTCATGATTAATTGGATATGATATTCTTTTCCTGCATACATTTGTTTCATGAGATACATTAATTACCATTTTTAGATTAATTAAAAAATCACATTGTTTTTATGATCCACAGGTAAATTAACAACTATGCTGCTAGCCACTGCTCACCGGCCATACTTCCTCATTTCAGTGTGAGAAGAGGTGTTTTTATGTGAGTTGTCTCAATTTTCCCTTTACATTTCTTGATTGCAGACATATTTTTGGGAAGTATTCTAACTAAGGTATCTGTACAAAGGGGACATTTATTTATTTCAAGACATTTACTGAAGAAAGAGAAGTAAACAGAGTGAGAGGATTCATTCCTACTCTGAAAAACAAAAATTCTTAATTCTCAATAGTGGTAGCTTAAAAAAATATTAGTAAAGAGGCGAGGGATAGAAAGTAAAGCAAAACATTCCACCATTAACAGCGTTAAATAAGTTAAGAATGAAGTAACAAAAACAAAATGAATTCAGAAATGACAATTCCCTTTTTACCAGTTTAAATTAAATGAAGAGAAATTACTACCTAGGTATGCTTATGAATTAAAGACTTCAATTTTATGAAGAAATGCTGAAATAATTATCCCTAGGGACAAGTGACCACTATCCAAAGTTCCGCTTACCCTTAAAAATATTTTTTTAGCAGTTAGTGCCATCCAGTCAACTCATAATGACCCTCCTGTAACAGAATAGCACTGTTCCACAGGGTTTTCGTGGCTAGTTTTCATAGTAAATGGTATATATAAAATAAACAAGAACACTTACTGTTGCTTCTCTTCTGCCTTTCTCCAGATTTCACTTATTTTTAAGATGAAGAAAAATAACAATGAACTTGGTATTGATAACCCTCATTCTGTGCAACAGGTGTTATTGTGTCTACCAGATAGCTTCACGTATAAGGGGAATTTCACTTTTTTAAAACATTCTATAGAGTACTTTTGAACAAGAAGTTAAACATTGCTTTTCAAGTGAAATGTATCAGTACTTTAAATATGGAGTCTGACCAAGGTCTAATATCGATCTGTGGATTTCATGGACAAGCAGTATAGTAATCATTCTCAGCTAATCTAGCCTATATATTTGTACTTCACCACCAAAATTTCAATCTCATCCACAGATCTGTTTTAATCCCCCAGTCAACACTAACTCATTGTCATCAAGCCAATGCTGACTCATAGCGGCCCACTGAGGATTTCTGAGACTGTAACTATGTACAGGAGTAGAAAGCCCAGTCTTTTGCCACTGGAGCTGATGGTGGTTTTGAACTGTCAACCACGCGGATCATAGCCCAATGCATAATCACTACACTATCAGGGCTCCATAACTTATCTCTTAATAAATGCTAGGCAACTTTTCATGTTTAGTAAACCAGCCACTACATATATACTTCTTTCATATCTATCATTCTCTCTTCACAAAATAATCTAAATAAATGAACCCTGAATTCTTCCCCAAAAATTGTACAACTAGAGTCCATTATAAAAATTAATTGATTACTACATGAGATGAGTTTAGTAACATTTCTAACCTCTAGAAGGATGTCTTATCATGAAGAATTTTAATTGTATGACAGAATTGAGTCAGAAGAAATGTAAATTTCTAACAAGTAACTTGACATCACAAATGCCTTGAGAGAGATCCCACTACAATGTTGGCTGTGTTTCCTGTAATTTTCTTCTCACACGCAAAATACCCTTTTAACCACCCAAAGACATCGAATCCTGCACCTCACTGAAAATAGTGATAGTAAAAGTCCTACTGATTCCTAGACTGGGAAGTGGGATGAGTTAACTAGAGAAATCCGACTAATCAACGAACAGTTTTATGCCTTCTTAGAAATTGCTTTAAAATATGGTGCCAATAGCAATGAAATGTCTATACTGGCACAAAAGGCAAGTTAACTGTCAGGCTGAGTGAATGACCTTAATTTTCATCTTTTAGCAAGGTGATTTTACAGTAGCGCAGCATAATCAACTTAACCACAAACCAATATGAAAGAAACAAATCATGGAATCATTACTAACCAGGTGCTACACTTGAGTTGCCCTGAGATTTCAGCTGTGAAGATGGCGGCACACCTTGGGGTGTGTTAGTTCTACTGTCGTCCAATCCCAGAGACAACTCCTTTTTGGGAGCTTTAATTGAGGAAACATCATCAGTCATGCCCATCTGCTTCTGTCTTCTTCGCTTCTTACTCCACAACTCATGGCAATCTTGCCATAAAGGAAGACTGAAAGAAAAAAAAAAAGCGTTAGATTGTAAGTAGCATTTCATAAGCAAAGAACACTAATAATTTGCCATGTAGAACACCAAGGGTAATTTTTTTTTTTAGAAAGTTGTCTTACAGACTTTATTCTCAAGCATTATAAAACAGATCTATCAATAAAAATCAGTCTGGATGCCCTGGCCTTCTTCTTCCAGGGTTTTACCTTGATTTATAGAAAAACAGTGGATTTTTCTTTTATTTTTTTGCCTTCTGACAGTCAACATTTATGAAATTTTGAATAAAGAATATATATTCATAAAAGTAGGTAACTAACATCCAAGTGCAGCTGTTTAAAGCCATTCTTCACAGTACATCAGTTGAGTGAAAAAAGAAGGCAAAACAATATGTCATTTGCAGAAGCTAAACGAAGGATGAAAAAGTAGTAAAAGCACGAACATGACATTTATGAAAATCTTTCTGGTTATAAGCTTCTTGTTTTTTAATGCCCTTATTTGCTTCTATAATAAAACTCTACAATTAAACTTATATGACAGATGAGTTAATAAATAGGCAATCCAGGCACAAAGAGGTTCATCTATATCGCTCATCAATAAAGAATAGTGATTAACTAGCAACTACCAGAATTGGCCACAATACTGAATTAATTCTACCTGAAAAGAATTTCCTAGAGTTAGCAATGCTGAAAAATATGTTGATTTATAAATGGCTCTTCTTATCCTTAGAAAAAGAAAAAAAGCCCAATGGAAAGTTATTATATCTGTTTAAAGATGAGAAAATTGAGGCTTAAAAAGGTTAATAAACTTGCCCAGAATATCTAAAAATTCCCTTCAGCAGCCCCAACCTGGTTATATATATATATATATATATACACATATATATATCTGCAGTCTTCAAACTGGGTCATGTTTACTCAAGGGATACATGAAGACTTTCCAAAGGGGGGTACACCTCGCAGGAATTGTTTTAAAGGAATTCATCTCCATATCCATATGTCTCCTTTCTTAAAATGATCTCTGAGAATGCCCTACATACTTAAGCAGGATTTTCTTTTCATACCTCCTCTTTCACAATTACTCTTCCCTTTTTTTAATAATATGAAAGCATATGCAACAAATGGTTGAATTTTAGCAATATAATATTAATTAGAAAGATAATCCGAAAAGATTCAAATAGCATGACACGCTTTTATAAAACAAAACAAAATGTGATTCCATATGAGCACATATAGATGGCAACAGAGGTGTACACAAAGAAACAAGAATGATGTTACTTCAAGTAGGAGGCGGCAAGGGGATGGATTGGTGGGGAGGGGATGTGATATGACCCAAGTTGGTTATTTTCAAGGTTCTAGCTTTTGTTTGGGCATGGTGAGGTCATGGCTGCTTATTAAATTTACTAAAAATAACTAATTAAGTAACTGACATAAAGAAAAGAGAGCCATGCATGGACCAATGATGAGTGAAACAAGGATTATGATTAAACCAAGTCTATGCACCTGAGGTCCAAAAAAAAACAAAAACAAAAGCAAAACAAAGGCATACCTCTCAGTCATCTTACTATGGTGCATTGCCTCAGCGTGTAAAAACCTCCTGGAGTAACAAACAAAGGGACAATTTGAAATATTGATACTGGGAAGCCTCCTTTAAAGCATCATAAACCTGCCAAAGATCTAATTTCTTTCTGTGTGTTACATGACATGTGGCCTTATCCTCTCCTGTGACACTATGAATGCAGGCAGAATTGACATAACGCAGCACTGTGGAGTGGGGTAATCAGTTGTCAGGGAATGCATTGCTCTCATTGAGAGACCCGTGAGGATAAAGCAAAGAAACACACTAAAAGTGCTTTCGCTCCCTCCCACAATTTAAAGGTAAGATGTTCTGAAAGGATAACATTAACCTAATACATATCCACAAGTGTATAGGTAGTTCCTGACTTATGACAGGGCTCTAATCCAATGACTCCATCATAAACTGGTCCTGATGTAATTATTTTTAAATAAAAATTTCATTATTATTGCCTTTTTTGGTCAAAATTTAAAGATCTGATTTTTGTCTTTGGAGGTTGGAAGTATTACATATAAAATGAGATACATGCTACAACATTGTAGTACACATCACTAATGATAAGCTCTTTAAAAAAAATGTGTGTGTGTGTTGGGGAACCCAACAGCCACAATTGTGGCTCATCGTTAACTCAGCATAAGGCAGGGACTCACCAGTTAATTCTTTTCAGGAGGAACAAAGTTTTGTGTGTTTTGGGAAAGTTCAAATGCTGGCTCTGCCACTTACTTTCTGTGCTGTGTTAGGCAAGTGACTTCTACTTGCCTCAGGACCTACTCTCAGGAGGTAATCTATGTTTTACATATGTAAAATGCTTAGGTTATGCCTCTCACATAATAGGCATTATATTCATATTTTATATTAAACTGTTGGCATTCATAGGTAGCTTATAACTATTTTTATCATATTGTGAAATATCAATTTCAATTAATTTTTTTTGTTTTTTTTTCAATTAATGTTTTATCATATGAATTACTTTAAATGTTTTGCTACTAATAACAAAATTAAAGGTTAGCTGTCATCCTAATTTTTAAAAAGCAAACATACATTTTTTTAGAAGTACATTATAATTTTGAAAGGACATCTAATACAGTGACTTATTTCTGACTTTTTTCCCTGACTTCTTTAATATCCTACTCTCACTTGATTATTCTTTAAAACTGATCATGTAAGTTTGACATATACACATATTTTCCAAAGGAATAAAACACCTTTCTCCATAGTTCTTACTTCTTAACTAACAGTATTTTGAACTACTTGATACATCACATTAAAAAATAAGAAATGCTATATTATGTTCATATATTTTTCAATTTAAAGATATTGACCTGACTGACTGATTTAGTAAACATGCATTCAATAAATTGCTACTGGTTTGCAGAGTGTGGAACGACATAGCCTGTACTTTCAAAATTTTGAACAAGAAAAGGCATGTAACAAAATTTTTTTTTAAAGATTGGCAAAGTAGCACAGAAATTAATGTTTACTTGCTATTGTTTCCTCAGTGTAATGGAATAAATATAAATGCTGTTAAAGTAACTTACTGCTAAAGCTTTTCAGCTGCACTTTCACACAAAAGTTGAAAAAGTAAAGGGCTAATGATTGCATAAGAAAAGCTTTTGTATGTGACCTTTTCCATTTATTTGTCAAGAGAACAGAAGAAAAAATCTTAAACTGGTATCTAAAAAGGTTAATAAAATAATCTTTGATGTTAGCTTAACTATATGATTCTGGGATATAATGCAGAAGGAGTTCAGAGGACTAAAAGATGGAGCTATGACATAGGTTGTCTTACTCTCAAATACCTATTTAAAAATAATAGAATTACAGTTTATATTTTTATTCTCAAATATTTATTTATAAGGGTTCTTAAACATAAAAATAATAGGATTACGATATAAATGGAATTATCTAGATTAAGAAGAAATAATAAATATACAAACTATTTCAGGGAAATAATATCAGTGCCTTCTATTTCATTAGGTTGCATGCCCAACAAAATTCGCTATTTTTGTGTTTTTTTAACTGAAATATGTAAAACTACGCTGCAATGACAATTTTATCAAGGTGAAACAGCTGTGTAACAATAGGAAGTTTTTAAAAAAACCTTCACCCATCTTCCTCTATATATCTACTTAACTGTTTTGAACAAGTACAGGAGTGATCAATAGAATATTTTAAAACACAAATATTATTATAGTAGAATAAAAACCCATGAGAGCAGTTTATAAAAATAATTTGTTCATATATACATATATTAAGTGAAATCTAATTGCTATCAAAATGCAAGATGTATTGACAAGAGTGATTTAACCACCAGCACTCCTCCTTTAAAAGGTCATTATTTACAGTATACTGAAAATTATACTATTTCTAACTATTGAGTTTTTAAAATTAGATGTGAGCAAAAATGTGCTGCATACAAAGTTTTGTCAGAATTCTTGCAGGCGCACCACCAGAACCAACTGATCAAACTTCATATTACCAATAACAATTAAAACTGACATTACACTCCTCTCGGTGTAATAGGCACATAGCACAACTTTGGTAATAATTTGATCAAAAATGCTAATTTAGTTCTCATCATGAAGATAAAAAAACAGACCCAATCATTCCCAGATTGTGAAATGTTTTACAAGACAGTTAACATTTACACTTCAAAAATGTCAATGGCATAAAACCTTTTTCCAAGGAAGGACTAAAGGCTAAAAAGACACAATAACTAAACACAAGATGGGAGCTTTCAATGATTATCTTAGAGGGAATATAAGTGGAATTAAAGAGGATACATTAGGATCACAATGGCTCTATAGCTATGCAGACAAAGTCCTGCTTGTGTAGTGGTTACAAGTTGGGCTGAGATCCTCAAGCTCAGCAGTTCAAACCAGCAAGCTCTGAGCGAGCAAGAGGCAGCTCACAGGAGGAGTTCGACCCCCCTGACAGGATAGCTTTGAGTCAGCATCAATTTCCTGGCAGTTTCTTTGTTGTTGTTGTTGTTTTGGGGGAGGGGTCTGTGTATGTGTTTTCTTTTTCCTTTTTTTTCAGTTTTTACCAAAACATGTCTAAAGAGTTATGAGAGTGAGGGTTAATTTTTCACCTATTATTTGAATAGTCCAGGAAAAAAGAAACCTTATTTAGAATAACTTAGTATGTATTCAAATAGTATTAATTGTTGAATTTAGGTGAAAGTTATATGCACATTGTACTTTTCTATTTTTGATGGGGTTAAAAATATTGGTGGTGGGGAGTGAGTTGTAAATTCCTTAAAGGGATTATTAAAACCAAAGTTTCAAGACTGCTGATATATTCTGATAAACCAAAAAACATTAAACAATTAATTCAACAGAGAATGATTCGGGCTCCATAGCACATCAGATAAGATCCCTTCTGTCTCTCAAATCATCACACAAAGACCATCTACAGTGCAAAAAAGGTTAATAAAGCTGAATATGACAATCTCATAGAAATAATTTTTTTTTGAAATAAATTTAACTCCAATGTAACTAATATATCAAAGAGCCAAGATCTGAACTCCAGAGCCTGATTTTATATACACAGTTTATTGTTATGGTCTGCTGTTTCACCACCCCATACAGCCTAAGGAAACCATAGAAGCTTTTTGGAGCTAAGGTCCAAGAGCGTAGGTATTCTCACTCCTAAACTCTATGCAGACAATACACTTGGCTCCATGAATAAGCTTCTGATACTCATACTTCCATTCAATGTTGGGCATTTCACTTGTGTGGCATGCAAATGAGTATTTCAGAAATCCTCTCTCTTATTGGAGTAACTTGAATTTCAAAGCCAACTACACTCTTCTACTACATTTGTATTCCTGGGCAAGTTTCTTAACCTCTCTGAGCCCGCTTCCTCTGAAAATGGCAACAATAATAGTAATACCCACCTGATAGGATTGTAAAGATTAATGTAATGCATGAAGAATGTTTAACAAGCATTCCAAATTTTAGCTATAGTAGTACTGGTACGTGTAATACTCAAAATAATAGCAGCACCAGGATTATATTCTTGGGAGTTGAAAAAAATAATAAAAACTTGAGCTCAATTAACCCTCAAACTAGTCAAAGAAGGATGCTTTTCTAAAATATTTTCTCCTATGACTAACTGAACACAGAGCCAGAATCTAGGTTCTAGATGTGTACATTATGTGTATTACTATTTTATGTATTTCTTTTGACTTTCTCTATTACATTTGACTTAAGTAAGCATAGAATATCTTTTGATCATTATACAGATGTTATTAAAACTGTCCACATGCAGAATATGTAGATTCTAATACAGTAAGAGTCACTTACTCTGGAGGAGGCATTTTTGAGGGTTCCACGTCTCGCAGGAAATCACATTGAAGAGCTTGCTCAGCAGTGCAGCGCTTACTGGGATCCAAGGCGAGCATGTAATCAAATAAATCTAGTGCTGCTGCAGGGATACTAGCATGAGAGGATTGCAAAATCATACATGGTTTTTAGATTGAAAAAAGTGTTTCCTTTTAAGCTTATTTAAATACTAGCATTTTAGAATTAGTTTGTAATACTATATTCCAATAGATTCCAGGTTTTCCTTTAAATAAATATTTTACTGTTTTACTTAATTTCATTACTATTATTCTAAATGGATACTTGACAAAAATGACATTTTGTTACTCGAAAGGCAATTTGTTTTTGTAACACAAAGTTTCTTAAAACAAATCTTGAACTTTGAATACAATTTCATTGAAATTTAAGACAATATCGTTAAAGCACCAACACAAACATCCTATAAATTACTAATTCCATAGTGACGATGTAATGGTAATTTGCAAATTGCAAAGAGAAATTCAAAATTAATGAACTAGTGCAGTGGTTCTCAATCTTCCTAATGCCATGACCCTTTAATACAGTTCTTCATGCTGTGTTGACCCCGCAACCATAAAATTATTTTCGTTGCTACTTCATAACTGTAATTTTGCTACTGTTATGAATCAGGCAACCCCTGGTGAAAGGGTTGTTCGACCCCGCCCCCAAAGGGGTCGCAACCCAAAGGTTGAGAACCTCTTAACTAGAGGACTGTGTAAGATCTAATTTGGGCCAACAACCCGATAAAGTAAAATTTTGATTTCACAAGAAATGTTTTAAAAAGCAATCAATGCAAATTGGATATTTAACAAATATCCAAATTTGTTACAAAACAAATTCTTACAAAACAAATTCTTCTCTTAACTTTCGACGATACTGCTTCTTTGGTTTCATGGTGTTGAAATAGGGTAGTTTGATTACATCAGGCCACACTGCAGGACATGGACTCCCACATATACGGCTAAACAATACACAAAAAGAAGTCGGTCACTCTCAATTACATAGAAAAAAATAACACACATAAGTACTATATAAAATATCAACTGAAAATTGAAATTTTAACATAATGTAAAAGAAATTCCATTAAATAGTTAAGTTATTCCCAGTTTAACTCCAGGGGAGCTTCCAAAGGTTCGTGGAAAAATTGCATTATCTTTGAATTCCATTTTCTGCACAAAATTTTTGAAATTTCCCCATATGTTTTAGGAAATCAATTTCTCTTCAGTGGATGCTTGTAACATTCTAGTTAGAACTACAATTTCTAAAGAGAACCTTTAAATTTATAAAATAAAAATTTCAAAATAACAAAAGATATGGTCTTTTAAAAACCACACATAATTCTCTGCCAATGAAGTTACAAAGCTAGAAGTTAAAGTTTGTCTGGTTTTACAGCTCCCCTTTCCTCCCAGGAATATGAGTCTGCATAAACAGCTGCAACAAGAATCGTGCTGCTGCAGGAGTACTAGCAGGAGAGTACCACAAAATCACACACGGTTTTTAGAGAAAGGTTTCCTTTTAAGTTTACTTAAATACCACATTTTTACAATTAGTGTAGATTGCCGACACTATCTCAGGAAGGTAACTGTACTGTAAAGGTTGCTACTGAATGCTGTATGTAAGCAGAAATAAATGGGTTTGTTTAAATGGGTTTGAACTGCCAGTTTTTTTGGCTACTAGCCCTAAGTGTGAACACTTGTGCCACCCAGGGATAATTTAAAAGTGGTGTTATTGACCTTTAGACATTTTAACTGCTTTACGCTCTGCTTATTGATACAGTCAGTCCCTGGACTAAGAACAAGACCCATTCCTAAATGTGTCTTTAAGCCAGAACAGGTGCATACAGCTCTTACTTAGCTTTATTTTAAGCACAAGACTTTGACACCTTTTGAATTATTTAAAGCTGCACGTGCAGCAAATCAAGGTGATTGTAATGAAGAATTTGAAGAGGGGTTGTGTTGGCTCACTGTTCTAAAGTAAGGGCAATTGTATTTAACATTAAAGGGCAAGTAAAAGTTGTTCATAGGCCTGGAGACTTGCTGCCTTCTGACAACTCTAAGTCAATATAAATTAGCATGTCTTTGAGTAGTACAAACAGGCAGTTCCATCTCATAAACTCGTGAAAATTCATATGTACATGTAAAATTTGTTCAATATAATTGAGTAAAATGAATCTCAAAAATAAATATCCATAATTTATGATACTATTAGCTGGTCTTGGTTATGTAAGAGGAAAATGCTGATGCAGAAATGATTTAAGTAAAATTATAAATACAAGAGGCCAAAACCAAACTAGTTGCAACCCTATAAGGACTCAGAGAATTATGTTCCACAGGGTTTGCAGTGGCTGTGGTGTTGGCAAAAAAGTACTGAATATACCCGAAGAATGAACAAATCTGTCTTAAACGAAGTACAGACAGAATGCTCCTACACCAAGGCATGATGAGGCTTGTCTCACCTACTTTGGCAAGTATATCAGAAAGGATATCATGCCTTGTAAAATACAGGGTCAGCAAAAAACAAAGTAGACTCACACAATGGCTGCCACAAAAGGCTAAAGCCTAACAGTGACTGTAAACATGGCACAGGCTTGGGCAATGTTTAATCCTGTTGGACATGAGCTCACTAAGAGTTAGAAGGGACTGTAGGGCACCTAAACAACATGATTTTCTAAGGCTTTCTTTTGAGGTGTCACTTGTTGAAATCAAACTGCTAATCTTCCAATTATTAGTCAAACACTTAACCATTAGTACCACCCAGGGACTCCTTAAACAAACGGACATCTCTATGCATTGCACAAATGCACATTATTGCATATGGATATATGCAACAATGTTTAGTTGAGCTTTAGCATGCTAAAGCTCATGTTTTGTTTTTTATTGGCTTTTAGAAAGTTGAGGAAATTTATTTCCTGAGGTCATGACACAGGAAGTGGATGTTTTAAGCCATACATCAAGTACTTTTTGCTTCAATATAGTTTTGAGGTTTTTTAAACCTAAGCTCTTTTTTCTCTCTTCAAACACACCCAGTTTCATCTTCAAATCCAATTCTCCCAACTCTTTCAAATATACATTATCTGTATATTTGAAATTGTTTTCTACATTTCTATATTTTTTCCCTGGTGACTACATAAATATAATTAATTCCAAATGGGCCCATCTTTATTACAGAAAAGTATAAACTATATTGGAAAACAGAAAATTATAATTATAGAAATAAGAGTAGCTCCTTTAAGAAAGAAAGCCAAACATGATAGCATGGCCCTCTATGGCTTGGTCCCAAACTCCCTTTTAAGTTTGATTTACCAGTCTCTCTCTCCCCACTTAGCACCCCTCCCCCACAATGATTATGCTCATATTCTTTCTCACCTAGATTCTACCATTTCATTTCATAAGGTTCAGATCAAAAGCAATCCATTCAATTAATCTTCTCATTATCAATATTACTTAGAATGATGAACCCTTGTTTGATTGACACTTATATCATTTTGCTTATTTTTATTATTCACATGTGTTTCTCCTATTAAATTATGTTCAGGAGTCATGTTTTCCATATAATTCATTCCAAGCAGGCTGATGTTTATTATAGAGAAGTATAAAACACATTGGAAAACAGAAAATTAAGAATGCTTCGAATAACTGAAACACAAAAAACTTTTAATAGGTAGGGGGTGCAGAATTTTTTGCCTACAACTCCAAGAGTAAACAACCAGAGAAAGAAATGAGAGAAAGAAAAAAAAGAAATAAGAGAAATATGTAACTGGCAAGGAGAGAAGAAAGGCAAAAGCACAGAAGTGGCACAGTAAAGGTATCCTGGGGAAGACTAAATATGATGGGAAGTGAAAACAATCTCTACCAATGGTTCTAGTTCATACACGCATACATGTGTTTATTCCAAACAAACTGTATAAACATGTTTCTATTGTCAGTGTGTAGCTACAAACAAGTTCTCCCTTAATACACGTGTCCGAGTCTCATTAGGGTGGTTTCAGAAAGATCCAACCAAAACAGTGCCACCTGAGGGTGCCTGTCCAGGCAGTTCAATTCAAGGCAGAAGTCAGCTGAGGGTGTGATGGTAACTATTTTTCAAGATTCCAAAAAGGTAAATCATACATACTTTTTAAAGGCACAGGAAATCATGAGGGCTTATTATGAAGTTTCAGAAAGTGGAAACTTCACTGATAAGAAACAGGCCAGGAAAATTGCAGAAAAATTTTCTTCCATCAAAATAATGTATGTTCACATTCAAGGTTAGCAAGGGCTTCTGACTTACCCTTGTAGTGCATGCTATCTGCTTTGAGTTTTAGTTTTGACTCATAGGAGTGTGCTTTTATTCTATTATACTTTAAAACATTTTGTTTTAGAAGCTTTGCTTACAGGAAAACCGTAACATTTGATACATGAGATTTTTAGGCAGCCACCTGAGATCCTGGTAGCACAGTGATTACGAATTAGGCTGTGATCCACGTGGCTGACGTTTGAAACCACGGGCAGCTCCTCAGGAGAAAGACTAGCTCTCTACTCAGGTGAATAGTTAAGTCTTGGGAACCCAAGTCAAGTGGGGTCCCTAGGAACCAACAGTGATATGATTGCAGTACGTGAGTTAATATCTGAGATCCTGTTATTTCAGGGAGTAGCAGAATTTGCTTCTAAGGCTCTCCAGGTTTATAATCTTATCATCTGCAAATAATCATAATTCACCACATTTATCAAATGTTTACAATTAGGGAGGGAACACTGGTGGCAAAGTGGGTGAAAACTGGGCTATTAATTTTAAGGGTGGGGGGTTCAAATCCACCAGCTCTTCTGCAGGAAAAAGACATGGTTAGGGCTGACAGGTGCTGTAAAAAAATCATTTTCAGAAATCCTAAGGAACAGTTCTATATCTACAGCAGCAGTTCTCAATCTGTGGGTGGTGACCCCTTTGGGGGTTGAACGGCCCCTTTACAGGGGTCGCCCGATTCATAATAGTAACAAAATTATAGTTAGGAAGTAGCCATGCAAATAATTTTATGGTTAGGGGGTCACAACATGAGGAATTGTATAAAAGAGTCGCAGCTTTAGGAAGGTTAAGAACCACTGACCTATAGGGTCACCATAATTTATGTGATGTGGGTTACTATTATGTTTTATGGCAATATCAAACAATGTGAAAATGATCATGAAGGCACATAATATTGAGTGACTTTGTTTGGTTTGTGATTTTAATGGTAGTACTTTCAATGTTTAACACCAGGAAGGATGAAAACTTTCACTTTGAGAAACAGATATTCACCAATACATATACACGCATACACCCCCCCAAACTACCCCCTTTCAAAACTATGTATTAAAATTTTTTTTACGAAACCACCTTATCACCTTCAAAGCACTCTCAATTACACTTAATACATCTGTCGAATCTGCAATTCCACTCTCGGAAACATTTTTCAAACTCATCTGTTTGGATGGCTGGCAACACCTCCCTAGTTTTTTTTCTTCACTTCTTCTAAGTCGTCAAATCACTGTCCTTTCATGTCCCTCTTCATTGCAGAAATAAAAAGACGTCACAAGAAGCAAGGTCAGGTGAATAAGGTGCATGAGGCATGTTGTGGTTTTTTGCCCAAAACTGGCACCGGGAGGGCAGCATGAACAGGAGCATTGTCGTGGGGACAAAAACAGGAGCATTGTCGTGGGGACAAAACCTGTCCCCCATCTGCCACAAATCAGGCCTTTTTGTCATACAGCGTTATACAATCTTTTCAGAAGTTCTAAATAGAAAGCTTGGTTAACAGTCTGACCTGGTGGAACAATCTCCAAATACACTAGAGTTGACATTTTCATCCATTTGGGAAGGTGATGGACATCCAGAACGAGGTTTGTCATCATCATAGACATTTCACCTTTTTTTTTTTAATTTCACCTTTTTTGAAAGGAGAAAATCACTCCTACACTTGAGTTTTTCTTATAGCTCTGTCCTTGTACG